GTAGGAACCAGCAGCTCTCTGTGCACGGGAGTTCAGGAGCACCAGAGAACTCCTGCAACTAAAGGAAGCACTTCTCACTACCAGAAGCATCTTTCACACTACCACCTGCACGCACCACGACAGACCACACACAGATGTCGCTGTGTGACAAATACCAGATCCATCATGGCCTGACACACAAATCTCATAGCACAGGTTTCCAACAACACAGAGCTCTGCACAAACCCACAGATAATCAAGGACATTTCCTATCGGTGGGCTACTGAGTATGCAACTACTTCAGTGTTACTGGCTGCACACATTTGGCACTACAGCTCATCAAGAAGCACAGATAGATCCACGAAGAAGGCAATGCTGACTGTATACAGGAGAGGCATTTTCCAAAGACAAACTCTTTAATTTCCTCCATTCTCCTGCCGAGCTCAATAATTTTCTTCTCCTGGCAGCAATTACAGTGAAGCTATACAGCATCAGTAAGATTTCACATTCATATGGTTATTATTTCTATAACCAAGAAACCCAAGATGTTATTGCTGAAAGGATATATATATATATATTTAAAATAATTGTGAACCTGCTACCTAACTCTCCACTACATGAACACTTGTATCATCACTGCAACCTCAAACAAAAAATAATCAGTACCAGATCTGCACGATATGTCAGTTCACAAGTAATTCTGTAAAGGAGTGCTGTGAGTCAGGTCATAAAGAATGCCATTTGTCACACCATCTGGTTTGATACAGAGCGATGTACTAAGGTTCATGTTTTTCACTAACCTTTCACTGTGCAGCATCGTATTCTTTTTAAGTATGAGTTCAGTGGAGCTAATTATGCCATGATGTATTGTCAAATGTACATCTGTAAAAATCCCATGCTGTCCTTCAAATTCACACTTCAACTTCCAGAATCTGAGCCAATACCACAGAATCACAGAATTGTAGGGGTTGGAATGATCCAGAGATCATTGAGTCCAACCCCCCTGCCAAAGCAGGTTCCCTACACCAGGTAATATTTCTTCATGAATCTATATATGATAACATTAGAACTCTAACATAACCAAACCATGACTCTACCCATTCTGATGTAATTGAATGACTTGTATCTTCTGAGTCCTATTGCAAATTCAATTTCTGAAGTAGCAAAAATGCATATTTACATAAATACATGTCAACCTAAAATAAACAGGCATCCCCTTTTACTGAATAATAATACAAAATAATTGAAGTATTTCTGGTAATTACTTATTTGAAACAAAAGGTAAAATCCTTGTGAAGTGGTACTTCACTTCTGTCAAGTTGCAGAACATTTCTATACCTCAGAACAGTGGTCAAATGATGCACCTAGTGTTATTTTTGTACAAGACTAAAAGAAGGTGGATTTCAGCTACCATGCTAGAGCTGAAAGGATTCACACTACATTTACCACAGTAAATGGGAGTTATTAGTTATGACAGTTTTCTGGAGTAAGTTAGAGTCCCACAGATACAGCTTTTACACAAGCCATCCAGCAGTTTCCTGACATTGAAAGTTTCTCACTGATTTATCATGCACAAGGGGAGAAACTGAACAGCACAACCTAGCACTGTCAGCATAAAGCAGCCAATGTAGAAGACACAATGTTGTTTAAAGATGAAGATTTTCAATCTATAAAAGATTATGCCCTCATCCAGCAACCCTTAAGTAGATTCATAATTGTAAATTGGCAAATAGTTTCAATGAAACCCAAGACACTATTAATTTACTTAAGTGATGCACATGCTCAAGGCTTTGTTGCATCATAATTTGTGAGGATGTCATAGCACAAATCCCTGTAAGGCTCTCTGTAATTGTAACTCATTATTAGCTTAATTACTGCTTGTATTTTGTTGGAAAGCTGAGACTGAATGCACATTTGCTTTAGTAGCATCCTGCTCATTTCAATATAATCCAGTTTGTTACCATCAATGGCGTTTGAAACTGTCAGAGCCTCAAACTTATGAAGCTCTATGACTTTGCTTTTAAGAACATTAGTCTCAAGGAGATGTCTGTTAACAACTAGAACACATAAACACTTATGCTGATGCTGAAGAACACAAATCCAGCTACGATCAAAAAGTGTCAGTAAGAAAACTAAGGAGCAAAGTGAAGGTGATCAGCAGTTATAAATAAACATGCTTTAATATTTTACAAGTTTTTTCTTTTGAAAGATTTTTTTTGATGATTCACACTTTGATGACAGTTTAGCCACCTGTTATTAGTCATTCCCATTATTATTAGAGCCATACCACTGTGCATCCAAAACTCCAAAGTAAAAAATTACCTTATGACAACCAAGGAGTAGATAAATTAGCAGCCAATAAGCCAAGATATCTGCGTGGCTGGTGAAAAACAGAACCACAGCTTCCCTTTTCAATAGGAAGGTACAGATTGTGAGAACTTCTGGCACAAGCCACAGTGCTCCATTAGAGCATGAATTAAGTCTTGTCTTCACACTAGACAGAAACTGAGCAGAGCATAAGTCTGTAGTCTCTCCAAGATTCCTCTAAAGATGACAAACACCTCCTACAAAAACGTTAAGCTACAGCACACTGCAGCCCATGCCTTCTTCGACTATCTAAGCTGTAATAGCCAGTTGTCAGTGCAGCCCTGGCTTTAAGGAACTGACCCACAAGGCAGTTGAAGACATTCTTAGGAAACAAAGGAGACAACCTGGGCGCTTTGGTCTGGTGCTATCCAGACAACCACATCAGACAATGTATGCAAAAATATTTGTAATATTTTCAAGGAAAATATTCACCTCTCTAGTAGTTGGAAAATATTTTTTAATTTCCAGTTCATAATTATTTCTGATCATTTAAATTAACTTATTGTCCTGCTTTACTAAACTAGTTCTCGTCCTGCAGCTTATGCCTTTCATTTGCTTATAGAGGAAGAGCACATTGCTTCCAATCACCTTCAAAAGCTAGGTACTTTCAGCCTCCATTGTAAAAGAGGTCCTTGTCATCCTTGTAGTCCTACTCTGTTCTTTTTCAATTCTGAATTCCTGTTAAACAGAAATCCAGACATTCAGACTACATATCTCATCAAAACACTTTCAATTTATAAAACAGAATATATATTTTTTACAAATATATATGAATCAACACATATTTATATTTCTATATATTTATATTAAAAATATATTTTTAAAATATCTTACTGTCTGGTTCCAGTTGACTGCAATTCTGTTTGCATAACCGAAGAGAAACACACACAGGAACACAACGGACAGGAACCACGCAGTCACTGCTACAAACATTACCCATCCCTGCAGCAGTGGCAGTGGAACTTGTGTAGAAGCTACCAAAATCCAGACTATTGTTCCAAACAGCTGTAAGGAAAGGAATACAGGTGATGAACTGAGAAAGAAATTTCAATTTTGTCCGCTCCCCCCAATTAGCACTTTATTTATCAGCACTTTGTATCACAAATCAAGCCCTGAGATTGCTTTCAGAAACCTAGAGGAGACACTTCAAGAGTACTCCTTCCACTACTTGAAGTAGGGAGCTTGTGTAAACAGGAGCCCCTTTTAACATGGGCAGGTGGTAATAGGATGTAATGGGGTAGTAATGGGGGAAAGGAGATTTTGATCAGATGTCAGCAGGAAATTCTTTATTCAAAGGATGGTGAGGCACCGGCACAGCTGTCCAGAGAAGCTGTGGATGCCCCACCCCTGGAGGTGCTCAAGGCCAGGTTGGATGGGGCCCTGGGCAGCCTGATCCAGTCAATGGCAGCCCTGCCCATAGCACAGGGTTAAAACTAAATGATCTACAAGGTACCTCCCAACCCAAGCCATTCTATGGCTCTGTGATTTCAAAGAGCCCAACTGCTGTTCTCACAAACTATAAACACTAGGCAGTGGTTTGACAAAGCCTCTCTTAAAACAGTCTTGAAAAAGGGACTGATGAACTCAGGTAACTTCTGTGCTGTTGCTGAATATTTATATATTTATATATATATATATATATATATATATATACTCTGAAGTTAGAATGATAGGGATACACATCAAATTTGGATTCAATCTCATACTGTTTAGTTTTGTAGTTGTAATCAGATGAGACATATAAAGGAGATGAAACGGCATCGTCTTTTTTAATGTATTTGTAATAAAATACTGAAAGAGAATACATTAAGTAATGAAGTGTAAGAGAAAGCTAGACTAAGAGTAAGATGAGTTATAAATAATGGTGTGTTGACTAGAAAAATACACAGCTTTCCAGAATTATTGTTAGCTAGGGGAAGAATTCAGCAGTGCTAATTTTCTTTTCAGCATACACATCTAACAGAATGAGTAGTGAGGATACTGTACTATGATGATCTGATGGAGAATTTACACTCTAAGGTTTGCCCTGGCTGGCCTAGCAAAAGATACCATCTCTCCTGCAAATCATGCCTCTTTATGATACCTGAAAAAATAAGTAATTAGCATCCTAGGTATATTCATTATGGAAAGGTCATAATCCAACCTGCTGCTGGATATCTACAATTAATTTCAAAGCAAGCTACTACTTTCTTGCTCAAGTCCTACAGATTTAAAACTACAAGCTCAGAGGCTACGCCTTCAAAGCCAGAGAACTTTCCTTGAATAAAGGTTGGAAAGGAGACATCTTCCAAAAGAAGCCGCTACAAAATTAGTTACAATCAGTGACAAAATGAGTTGGGTCCTCTCTAGCCTTACGTTGCAGCTGCGTGCACGTAAAACGCATGGCTAGCCGCAGCTCAGAACTCCCAGCAGTTCGTGGATGGGCCTTCAGGTTGCTCTCGGGGGTTCCGTTTTTAGCTGCTGTGCAGAACCAACCTTTCTCCAGTTTCACCAGACCGCAGGTGCAGCTCTGTTATGTACAGACCAGCCAGCGATGGGCAGCGAGGAAGCAGAAAGGGCAGCAGGCAGTGTCTGCTAATCAGAACGCAGACGCGTACGAAACGCTCCCACTACTCAGAAGGTGGAACTTTGTACCTTCATAAAATGAGCTCTGCCAAGATTCTTCCCCTCCACACTACTCGCGCCAGACACTAAACTCAAAGGACATCAGCCCTATCTACTTCAACACATCTTCCGCACACGCTAAATACACTTGAAGGAGTTCGCACAGAACCCGTAACACGACCAGCGCAACTTTTCAGGGTCGGTTCTTGGGTGCGAGGCTCGCACACAGCCGCCCCGGCACGGCTCCACGCACAGCTCCGCCTTTCCCCACACGGCCGCTCACAAAATGGCAGGTGAGGCGCAGCGCGGCGCTACGCACGGCTGCCCACGCGGTGGAGCCGCAGCCAGGAGGGCGCGAGTGCGGCAGGTGGAGGCGGCGGGCAGGGTGGGCAGCGAAACGCCCGACGAGGGGAGCCCGGGGCAGCCCGGCCCGCGCACTCACGATCTCCAGGAAGATGAAGGCTCCCGAGTAGGTGCGCAGGATCTCCAGGCCGGAGGGCAGCGTGACCCGGGGGGGCGGGAAGTAGGCGACGGTGTTGGGAGGCGGCGGCGGCGGCATAGACGAGGATCCTCTGGGCAACATGTTGCTGTTGCTGCCGAGCGCGGCGGGGACGCGGAGCCGCGGGCAGGTGGGCGAGGATGAGGAGGAAGAGGAGGGCGGCGGGAGGAGGGAACAGGTGCGGGCGGGCCTCCGTGCACCGCCCCGGCCGCCTCCCTCTCCTGCCCTCCCTGCGCCGGGCCCGCCCCGCTGCTGGAAGGGCAGCCCCGCTGCGGGCTGTGCTGGGGAGCAGCGCCGCTGGGGGTGTTGGGAGGCGCGCAGGGTGTCTGCGGGATGGCTTAGCATAGAATCAGAGCTACCCCGCTTGTGTTCTCCGGAGTGAAAAGACCCGACTCCTCAGCGTCTCCTCACAGAGCAGGTTCTCCAGCCTTTTGGTCATCTTCATCCTTTGGGCCCTCTCCAGACTGTTCAAATGGTATCCTGGGTTCCATCAGAAGAGGGGTGGCCAGCAGGGACAGGGAGGTGATTGTCCCCCTCTACTCCGCTATTGTGAGGCCCCATCTGGAGTACTATGTCCAGGTCTGGAGCCCCCAGTACAAGAAAGACAGGGAGCTGTTGGAGAGGCTCCAGAGGAGAGCTACAAAGATGATCAGGGGACTGGAGCACCTCCCCTCCGAAGACAGGCTGAGGGAGCTGTGCTTGTTCAGCCTGGAGGAGAGAAGGCTGCGGGGTGACCTCATTACAGCCTTTCAGTACCTAAAGGGAGCCTACAAACAGGAGGGGAGTCAACTCTTTGAAAGGGTAGATAACTGCAGGACTAGGGGAAATGGTTTTAAGTTGAAGGAGGGAAGATTTAGGTTGGATGTCAGGGAGAAGTTCTTTACAGAGAAAGTGGTGAGGTGCTGGAACAGGCTGCCCAGAGAGGCTGTGGATGCCCCGTCCCTGGAGGTGTTCAAGGCCAGATTGGATGGGGCCCTGGGCAGCCTGGTCTAGCATTAAATGGGGAGGTTGGTGGCCCTGCATGTGGCAGGGGGTCAGAGATTCATGATCTTTGAGGTCCCTTCTAGCCTGGGCCACGCTGCGATTCTGTGATTAGTGGAACCAGAACTGGACGCAGTACTCCATACGCCTGCCATCTGACAAGCACTCGGTAAAGTGGGCTGGTCACTTCTCTGTCTCTGCTAGTTATTCCCCCACAGACGGAGTTCAGTATCTGATTTGTCTTCATTGCTGCAACAGCAACACTGCTCACTCATGTTCAGCTTGTTGTCCACTAGTGCTCCAAGGTCCCTTAGAGCAAAGCTGCTCTCCAACAAATCTGAGGCTGTACTGAGCTCTGCTTATGTCATCCCAGGTGCAAGAGCTTGTTAAGCATCATACAGTTCTTGCTTCCCGCTCTACCTGCCTGTTGAGGTCTCTGTGTAATAGGGCTCTTATTTCTGATCTCTCCATCTCACCACTCAGTTTAGTGTCATCAGCAGATAAGGTGAGGGTGCTGTCAAGCCCAGCATCCAGATAACTTATGAAGATGTTGAACGGTGTGGGGCCCTGATTCCTGGCGGATCCCACTTGTGACAGGCTGCCAGCATAAGTAAAAACACTAATTGCCACCTCTGAGTGCAGCCTGTTAGCCAGTTTCACACCCCACCTTGCAGACACCCATCCAATCTGTACCTTGCCAGTTTGTGTAGGAGAGGGCTGTTGATGTTGAGTTCCTTGCTGATGTCCAGGGAAGCAGTGTCCACTGCTCACCCCATCGGATTAGATGTTATTTTGTTCCAGAAGGTGATAAGGTTAGTCAGGTATGATTTGGATTTCCTGGTCGCCTGCTTCTTTTATCTTGTAATTTTTCTAGGATGACTTGTTCCATTGCTTTCCCAGAGACTGAAGACTGAAGGTGTCCACTGTGATGACAAAGTACTCAATGTCTTCATCTATAATTTAAAAGACTATGTTTTAAGGTTTCTTGCAAGTGTAGCTGCTCTGGAGGTTGAACCAGCAAGGGTGTTAATGTTGCATTCCTCTCTTGTCAGATGCATGATGTTTCTCAGAATTCTGCTTTTTCAATAACAAGAAACACCTCAACCTGAAATGCCTGTCCTCCCCACCTCAATCCAAAATGTAGGTAGGGAAGCAGTCAACTCCTATAAACACAACTCATGTGTGTTTACAGCACATCTAGTATCTAGGTAGGGCGCTTCTAAGAGGCAGTAATACTAGCTCAGCTTTGAAATCATGTCAGCTAGAGAAGAAAGAAGCATCAATTTGTATTTTATCATGTGCTCTCTCCTCATTTCTGCATTCCTTGTAGTTGGATGACTCTCTCCTAAAAGGTGCAAGCTGTAGATCCCCATTCAGATCCAGAGAAGCGTGGCCTCTTCTTTTCTGAACAGTTAAATCAGTCAGTTACCTGATGAGAGGAGTGATACCTTTTAAACCTCCTCTAGATGTATTTGAAAAATGAACGTTGTGTTCCATTCATTTATTTTCAAGGAAGGATTCTAGACACTGGAGGCACATGTCGGTAGGTCCTGTCTTGGTTGTGTTTTGGAAGGCAGCAGGACTCGACTTGTGCCTAATTAATGACGTGTAGCTGGTTCTTTCTTGGGATTGCGTTCTGGAGACCATATGTCCAATTAACTGCACAGTCTGGCCATAAATCTGTTGAGATTGCCCTGCACAGGTTGAAATCTGAGAGGGTGGAAATCTAGGTTGATGAGTTTATGATTTGGAACAAGAAATGTGATTATGCTTATCTTATACAGAGGAAATACAAGTAACACTCGGTCATAAACATTTCTATCTTTATTATCCAGCCACACGATCAATCAGTGTGGACTCCAAAAGCAAGGGATTTTTTTTATGGTTACATACCATATACAGTTGGGTTTTTTTTCATTATTTTTTTTTATTTTTTCCCTTTTGAATACCTCTCATTTTAATCTGCACTCTCCTTCTAGCACTTCTTCACTTTTAGTAGGCTGTCACAGTAAAGTCTAAATTTCACTGTTAGATCCATGGAGGTGTTCAAGGCCAGGTTGGATGGGGCCCTGGGCAATCTGGTCAAGTGTTAGATATCGAGGTTGGCAGCCCTGCTTACTGCAAAGTGGTTGGAACTTGATGATCCCTGAGGTCCCATTCTGTGATTCTATGATTCTGTGATTCTATGAAAGCAGATCTATAGCAATTCTTTTGCATAAATACAAATCTTTTAAATGAAAGTAGTTTAAATTATTTTGACATTGTTTGGGCTATACACATTACAGTGCCACCTGTGATTATATATCGATTCAGATATAGGCTGAATCTTTCAAAAAATCTGAGTTCTGTAAGACATCAGTATCAGTATTTCATTTTGAAGTTTCCAATGGCAAAAGCATCTGTTTGTGTTGGACAACGGTCTTTGTAGCATTTTTTATTATTTTTATTTTTTATGTTGTAGGGCAAACTACTGCTGCCGTAAGTCCACCAGACTCAACAACCAGATGGAAGTATGTTAATTCATTCTACATAAGAATGTCTGTTTATACCACCAAAGGGGCTAAAAGCTTCTCTTAAAATATTACATGAATATAGGCTGAACTTTCCCTTTAGTGTTCTTAACTGCTTACTGCAGTCTAATATAAAGTTGGGATTGTCATAGAACTGCAGATCAGTTTCTGTCATTTTAACATGAGAGGAGATGCAAGTGAAAAAAATTAAAATTCCAGCATTTAAAAAGCCCAAGTGTGTGTAGGTTACTACACATGGCAAGTCAGTAATTACGACAGTGAAAACACCAAGAATGGCACTTGCCTACAAGTTCATAAATTGTTGATAGTGAGTCGATTTTCAAAATGAAGAGAGAGCCTTGGTATTTGTTTAGCTGGACTTCCTGCAAAGTATATGGCTGAGGAAGTTAAACAAACAATCTACAAGATGCAGCAAGTATCAAAGGGTGCAGCTGAGGATCTAAATTCCAAGTATATTGGCATAATATGTGCCTACATTTAATATATATTGAAAAAGAAATATCTGGATATGAATGTCCTAATTATCTTCCTCCCTGAAGTGACCAACCATTAGACATAATGCACAAACACATGAAACACTGTATTAAGCTACTATCTACCACATTGGTAGGGATTAGAAGAGAGAATTTTTTTTTAAAAAACATTCACATACATCACAGTGGATATGAAAATTAATTATATTGCAGTTCTGTGTATCAGTCTATCTTTTGTGATACCCAGGGGACTCTATTTACTGATACATAGAGCTGCATGAACAGATCTCCTAAGACAGAGCAGAGCAAGGTTTTGCCAACAGTATCAGGATATGACTCTTTTTTTTCCAGTTACTTTATTGATCCAGAGGAATTTGTCTATCAAAGCCTTATGTGTTTCTTTTAGATTCTCAAAGTTGCTATTTCTTAGTCCTGTAGTTAGGTATGTTTCAATGGCAGAAAACCAGAAGCTGATTATATAAAATGCAGATGGTTTTGTATATGGATTAATTCATTTAATATGCTCCTGGAAACTGCATGCAGGACTCTGATCTCATAGTGATGGAAACTTGGAATTGTTACCCTTTAGCCATTGTAATTAAACTGACATAAAGCTGGTGTGCATAAGATGAATGATAGGGAAACCTTTTAATGTCTTTTGCGTAATGTATTTGCCCAGTGGTAACAGAACTTTAGGGTCATGTTCAGACCAGTGCACGTTATGAATTGGTGTACAAATACCACATTGTTGAGGTTTCTTAAAAGGCAGCCTGGAAGTTTTTTTGTTTTTGTTTTTTAATATGCTTGGT